GCCTCTGCACTCTGGGCCAGGAGCCTAACAGCCCACAAATTCGATTGTATCTGAAAGAAAATGTGCACAAACCATTGTTCCCGGACTGCCAAATCATTAATGCATTTATATTTGATTCGATTTGCCCCCAATTTGCCTTTTTAACTTCGTTCTGAGATTTTAAAACGTCCAGTGAAGCTGCACAATCATGGTCTGATTCTAAGCAACAAAATAAATGAACGCTTGCTGCTCCTGCAAGAATCAACATTTAATTAAACAGAAATCTGAGGTGCAGGATTGGTTGGCTGGGATAGAAAGGGGAAGGGAAGCAAAGGGAAGAGTGTCCATCTGTTTGTCACAGCAGTTGTCCTCATTGGCAATCTGTTTCACAGTGAAATCTTGAAGCAATAAAAAAAAAACTGTAACCATTGTTTCTGGGAAGCTGGATGCAAGACATAGACAAGTCCCAAATAAGCGCAAAAATATTAGCACAAAACTAAAATAAAACACAGTTATTGAGCAGTAGTGGTTTCAAATATGGGCCATATGGCTCACTGTCCATGGTGGCATGGCTGCGGGGAGAGCACAAGCAGTTTTCCTCATTTGTAACCCTAGTATACCCCAAGTATAACCTGGATAAATGTTCACCTTTACATTTAGTATTGGAAAGGCTTACTGTCTAAGATGGTAGGGGAGAGGGTGACTCAAGTACTAAACTTAACAAAAACAAAGAAATCCTATCAATTCATGCTTCCATGTCATACCTGACTATCCTTTATAAAGAGTATATCTTTATTGATTTAAGTTGAGCATTTCATGAATAATGGAGATATTTGGTCATACAACTGGTATATTCTCTGATAGAATTAATCTTTTAAGGTAGGCTTTTGACACTAACCCCTGTTTATTTCAGTCAGACAAATTACACATTATGACCCCTTATTAAGCCAAATTAACTTGAATCCATCATGTTTTCTCAAAGAAGGTAGGATACTTCCCCCTGGATGGTACAAATAATTTGCCACAATCTTTTAATGGAATGTGAGCAATTTTCAGTTTTTGAATTTGACTGGTAAAGGTGAGTCAAATGCTGAGTTTGAATTCAGCGTCTGTGTTCTCGAAAGGCCAGATTTGTCAGTCGATTACTGCATAGTGCGGTGCCGTGGCCTGTTCGGATTTGAAGACTCCTTGCTATGCAGCTGACAAATGCTGCATTCTTTTTGCCCTTTTTGAAGGACAGGTCCGGTGTATCCCTCGTAGCCTTGGGTATCCCGTGATTCATTGCGAGTCCAAACAAGCCGGCTGCTTCTTTCTCGGAGGAAAAAGATAAATACCGCCAAACGGTGATGAATATTGTAATTGCAGTTTAATATAATACAGTATGTGAATTTTTCCATCTGAAATAAATAAAAATAGTTGCTTTAAACGTTTACTGAGTCAGATAAGTGGCGGGTTATGTTTGGTTTATTGAAAGGTTTTATCTGTCCCTGTGCAAATGGGTTTGGCTGACATTTAAGCTCAGATTCCAATATCTATGGGGACTATACATGTGATATTCGCGACAAGAGTACTGCTGCTGAAGCTCCTCAAATTGTAATTAGTATACAGAACAGCGGTGAGAAGTTCAGCATCCATTCAATGTAATGATCTTGGCACTGATGACTGGCTTAATTATTCATTCCATTCACCTGTCCAACTCTGCCCGGTTTCTAATGACTGCTCATCTGATCCACCTGCTCCTGCCTCTATTTAAGGAGCTTGCATCCAGTCATCAGGGCCAGATTATTTCTGTTCTGTCTAGGCAGTGGTGAGAGTGTTTTAGAGTGCCTTAGTGTTGCTGATTTCCTGATTCTGACCTGTTCTGCCTCTCAACCACTTAGCGTACCTGTTCCCATCTGATCTCAGTGGTGAGAGGGTTTTTATCTTACCAGAGTGTTTCTGATGACCTGATCCTGACCTGTTTTGCCTTATTTTCACAGACCTCCAAGGACCCAGTCCAGGTAGACCGGGTCCTTGGAGGACGCAGCCGCTAAAATCAAACACACCCATAGTGGTACAAAACCCAGGCAAGAAGCATAGACCAAGGCACAGAGACAGTTTTAAAAAAATGTCACCAAAATGGGCAGAGCCAAGACAAGGCAAAGTGTGGGGGTGAGCAGAGGGGGTTAAACGGGACTGTGGTCAGGAGAATGGATAATAAATATAACTTGTAGTGGCCCAGCTTTGATGGCTCAAAAAGGTGAAAATCCACAAAGGCCACAGATGCACCATGGACTTATTTTATGCAGGCAAAAGAAAAAATATTTCAGGTACAATCCTTTAGTTTTGTCAGTTGATTTTCTTAAGGCAAGCAAAAAAAAAAAACAGACAAACATTTCCTCCATGTTTCTCTGGCGCAGGTAAAAAAAAAAACCATACACCCACTCAGATGTATGCTGGTCCTACAATTGACTGCCTATTTACAAAAAATAATTAACCTAAATTAATCATAACTAACCAAAAAATAAAGCAATAATAACTAAATAACCCAAAAACATATTCTCATAACAGATATTAAACAATAGAGTAAAATAAACTTGGCTTGATTATGCACAAAAAACATTTTTAATCATTAACAAAAAATAATTGGCTCCTACATAACTATTTAACCTAAATATCTAAAAAAAACAACATGCTTATATATAGGTACTCAGAAATCCGAATACTGCACAGAACAATGTCTTTGTCAGTGTTGTAACAATGGCTGTGTCGGCCATATACAAACTATGGAAAATACAACAGTCCAAGTGGGAAACGGGAATGCCATCACCTTCTGATTTACAGCACTTTCAACCAATAGGAAAAACAACTCCAGTAGCGCCCTTTCAACCCATAGAGTTTACAACAAAATGTCTCCATTTGCACAGTTTCATCAAGAAGGCAGGCACCCTTAAGGCCTAAGTTATAGATTTTATATTGTTACAGCACCATTGAGGAAGCCTGTGTAACATACGAGACAATTACTTCTCAACACAGTAAGATTACAATGATTGCATTACCATTGGCAGCTAAAGAAGTTAAACTTAGAATCCAATTTGTTGTTTCCTATCAGAGCTGATCTTCAAATATATCTGTGGAAGAAAACAGTTGAAAAGAGCCTTTTTCACAATAAGCAATTCGGGCTTAAATGGAAAAAACCAATATGCTCAACCATGATCTTCATCTTCAAAGGAATGTTAAACAACAACAAAGCATCTTCAGTCAGAGGTTTTCATCAGAACCGGTGGAAGACAGACTACTAAAGAAAATCTTTCCTTTCTACAGCTATTGACATCAACCACAACTTCTTAGAACGAAACCCATGAGTTATGGTAAAAATTTTATTTCCCTTTTGGATCAATAAACATTTTTTTGCATTCAATTGAACTAAATTAACAACATATTAGATTGAGCATGCATACTTTGCCATTGATTATTGTGTAATTAAACAAAATAAAAGTTACTTCCTGAGTAATTGGCTGTGTCATAACAACAAGTCTATCTATCTATCTATCTATCTATCTATCTATCTATCTATCTATCTATCTATCTATCTATCTATCTATCTATCTATCTATCTATCTATCATTTAAAAGATGATGTAGGACAGGACTGAAACTGCCACTGATAATGACCTTTTCATGCTGATTTCCATTGATACACAGTTTTGTATTTGCTATCATTCTATTAGTGACCCCATTGCTCTGTTTAAAGTTTTTAATTTCAATAGTTCCCTTCTCAAGCTCTTACTTTCTTCTGCCTGTCTTCATCTCTCTCTTTATCAAGTCTCTTTAATTCACTCCTCCTCATCATCTTCTACAATCCAAGCCAGTGAATCCCACTTAGAAATCAAAGCCAGTATCTGTGTTTTCCTCTGAACGCAGAGCAGAGAAGGGGGACAGACAGGTCTTTGTCCCCCTGGCCTTCAATGACTGCAGATGTGTGGGAGGCTACAAAGCAAACCCTGTGCCTTCATTTCTTTTTGGTTTTCACTTTGCTGCTTTTGTGATAGCGTTCGGGGACATGAGGTCAAGTGCAACCATGATGCGCAGGATACGCAAAGGCAGCTCGGGCCCATTTAGGCACATACTGTGCTCATTTATTAGTTATGAGGAACTGAAAAAGAAATGAAAAGCTCTGTTATATAAAGAGAAGTTGATAAATATTTTCAACAAATTCAATGTTTTCGCAGAAATTTGGACAAGTATGGAGATGGCAGAAAAAACATGAAGTAACCATCCTGTCAAGACGAATCCATAATCTTTATTGTTTATTGCTCAAAAGAAGCCTGTAGCGCCTGATAACCTATTTCCTTAGAAAGCCAGCTGCAGTGAAGTAAATGATAAGACATGTTTCCACCATATTGCTTGCACCTGTCACATCAATTAAAGTCAGTGGACATGAGGGACCAAAGAGGGGATGGGGAGCATGCTGGAGATAAAAAATTGGGAAATAATTTATATGTAAACATAAAGTAAGACTGCAAAGAAAAATATATATATATATACTAATTCAGGTTATATTTCTTTAAGATATTAAGGTCCCTGAAGCTGCAACTGTGAGCAGGACTCAGAACTCTAGGCCTCATGACAATGCATAATAATTATATTTAAAAGAAAAATAAGGTGGATTTACACCAGAAAGACAGAGGAATAGAGAAAATAAATTAAAATACAAAATCAAATCTGAGTGCATATTTAAATTTGATTGTGTATATATAATATATGTGACCAAATTTAATCATTTAATCATATTTGAACTATTAAAATGAATTCTCTTCTGCAGCAGGCTCCATGCTTGGTTAGTTTAAAATGATCTTACACCTTTCATCTTCCAGTGATAAACCTGCATGGCAGCTCAAAGTGTGGATCGGTCACATCCCAGTCGGGACAGCTCATCCAACACAAAAAAACTGCAGAATTTAACCCGTCCCGCTCCGGAAAGCACACACAAACCTCAGCTCACGCAGGAAAAGCCTGTAAAAGCCAAAAAAACACACTTACTGTCTTCCTCCTCCAGCGGTCGGACAGGGATGCAGAGGTGCAGTCGGGGTGATGCTGATGAAGGATGCCTCTCAGAGGGGAAGATCTGCTGTAATGTTTGCCTGCTCTCCCTCCCTTCCTGCCTCCTCCGAGGAGCTGCACTTCACGACTCGGGCAACAGCATTTGGAAGATGATCAGAATATGTCGAGATCCGAACTCGGAACCATTCGACTCGTGTTCGGGAAAAACCGGGGGCATAGCTTCCATAGAATCCACCTTAGATCCACTAATTTACTCTGGTTACATGCACTTATATCTGAATCACAGTTCATGCTTTTATTTTTTTTAAATAAACGTTCACCACTATGGAGGACCAATTCTGCCATATTTAAAAATAAATACAGAAATATATAGATGCTCAATAGCTAAAAAAGCATAAAATTAACTGCCCCCCCAAAATACAATAAACAAATAAATGTAGGTAGAATTTTATGGAGGACCAACTCTGCCATATTTAAAAAATAAATATAGAAAGAAATAAATGCTCAATAAATAAAAATGCATACAAATAATTGCCCCCAAAAATACAATAAACATATAAATGTAGGTAGAATTTTATGGAGGACCAACTCTGCCATATTTAAAAAATAAGTATAGAAAGAAATAAATGCTCAATAAATAAAAAAGCATACAAATAATTGCCCCCCAAAATACAATAAACAAATAAATGTAGGTAGAATTTTATGGAGGACCAACTCTGCCATATTTAAAAATAAATACTTAAATAAATGCTCAATAAATAAAAAAGCATACAAATAATTGCCCCCCAAAATACAGTAAACAAATAAATGTAGGTAGAAATTGAATTATACAGTGAAACATAAATGTATATATCTCTTTTAATTAGCTTCTTTATTTATTTGCCTTATGGTTTGGCTGCAGATATGCAACAAACAAAATAAGCATCTTTCATGAAACTGTTTTCATAATTATTTTTAAAGATCACAAAACCCCCAGTAGCCTCATTATCTTTGAAAGTAGACTTGGGGTGATGTACTGTGACAGTGTAACATGCAAGACACAATTACATCTTAACACAGTAAGATTACAATGATTGAATTACCACTGGCAACTAAAGAAGTTAAAGTAAGAATCAAATTTGCTGTATCATATCAGAGCTGATCTAAAAATTTATTTGGGGAACAAAATAGTTGATAAAAACAGACCTTCTCTGATTTTCTGTAATTTTCATGACAGAAAATGATTTAATAAAGAATTCTTCATTAAATTGAATGAAAATGATAATCCCTTTAAATGAATGTTAAATAACAAGTGTCTTCAGTCAGAGGTTTATCCAGAGCTGGTGCAAAACAGACTGCTAAAAAAAATCTTTCCTTTCTACAGCTATTAACATCAACAACAAATTGTCAAAACAAAACCTATGAGTGATGGTAACATTTTTATTTCCCTTTTGGATCATGAAAGTATTTTTTGCATTAAATTGAACTAAATTAACAACAAATTAGATTGAAGCAAGCATGCATACTCTGTCATTGATTACTGCATTAATACAAATAAACAAGTTACTTCCTTAGTAATTGGCTGTCATAATAACAACCGTCCATCCAACCATTTTTCTTTTAAAGGATGAAAGGATGATTTAACTCGTGTTCGGGAAAAACCAGGAAACATCTTCTATAGAATCCACCTCAGATCCTGAGTGTTTTTAAATGTGAGACAGTTGAGCTAAGCTATTTACTCTGGTAACATGTTCTTAGATCTGAATAACAGTTTATTATTATACATTCGCGAACATCTGAGAGTAGTTATTGTTACAGCTTTTACTACGTGAAACAAAGATTATTTTATGAGAATGCCAGTTTTAGGAATGAATGAGTTGCTGAAAATCAAGAAACATATAAATCGTTTTTGGCTGCAGATATGCAGTAAATATATTTAAGAACCAGCTGTTAAATCAAAAATGTCTTCAGATGGAAAATGTTAGGTAGGTCCCAAAACAAAATATGTATCTTTTATAAAACTGTTTTCATAAGTATTTCTAAAGATCACAAAACCTCCAGTAGCCTCATTATCTCTGAAAGTAGACTGGGGGTGAGCCACCCACCATTTGGTTTCCTATCTAGAGCAGCAAATTTTACACGAGCTGTTAAAAAGTAGCTTATTATTTCTACTAGGAAATCAGTTGCAAATTTATTTAAACTTTTTAATGTGAGACAGTGTAAAACAGATGCATTAATTTTCTACTAAATAATGGTATTTCTGATAAATATTAGTTTAATGACAAGGAATAAGAAAGATGTAATATATACGTTTAATTTGTTCTATTAATGCAATTATTTTGGCAATATTGCATTTATTATAAAATCAGAATCAGACATACTTTAATAATCCCAGAGGGGAAAAAAGGCCTTAGTTGCTTCTTCAACATTCTAGCCAACATTAGGAGCCGTTATAGAGGCTTCCTGTCATGGTTTTGGTTATGTTGTGCTTTACTTTGCTCCTTGTTTTCTAGTTTTTATTGGTTTAATTCCTATTTTGTTGTAATTTCTAGATTTATGTTATTTCTCATGTTGTCCTCTGTTGCCCTCTTGTGTGTGTGTTCCTTTCCCCTTGGCCCCCTTGTTGTCTCCTCACACCTGCTCCTTGTCAGCTCGTTAGCCCTCCCTTTGTCTCTGTCAGCTATTTATGCTCTCCCTCTTCGTTGGTTCCTCTGTTGTTGCTGGTCCTGTCATCGCTGCAATTGTCTCCCCTCGTCCCTCCCTGGCTCCTTCTACATGTTTTCCCTTGATGTCTCCATGGTTCTGGTCTGTTACTCTTTAGTTGGATTTTTGGACTGCCTTTGTTAATTTTCATAATTAAACTACAAGTATTCACCCCAGCCTCTCGGCCTCTGCGTCCTCCAAACCTCAATGAAACCCTGACACTTCCAAGAGCCACAGATGACAGACCCCTGATCGAAACCAAACAATAAAAACCGTTGACCACAAAAAATATTTTAAAGCCTTAAGCCTTTCAATAGGTGAATGTTTGACAACCTAAATATCTTTTATTTTACAACCCCCCCCCAAAAAAAAAACAAAAAACAAAATACAAAAGAGCAGTTTTGCTAGTTTTAATAAAATATATTGCAATGTTTGGCATTTTGTTGAGCCATTGAATAATAAAAAGAAATCAAAAGGCTTTATGGATTTTCAAATTGCAGATTTTCTGTGGCACATTATAAATAGGCTCTTTCAGTTTGGCTCTGAGATCTTCCAAGATGAGTGAAAATCACTGTAGACTTAAGATGAAATAAAACAAAGTATAGAAAACATAGATACATAGAAAATATTTAATGTGTTCATGATTTTATACATTTTTTAAAGTCAAGGCAACGGCTCTACAAAAAAAAAAAAAGACACTTTGATTGAATCTTTAAAGGACCATTTATAGCAGGTTAGACCATAAACCCATGAGATCTCTGCATACGGGCAGGCGTTCACATCTAGTGAAGGTGTGTATTGGACAAACAGGATGAAATGTTGCTGCAGAAGCAGCATCAGCAGTGGGAAGACAACACGGTGTGCATCTCTCCCTCAAGGCGATGAGATTGAATAACGCCTTAATGGAGTGGAGCTGCTTAATGGAGACAGGAGCAATAGACACACTGGTGAGTTGATGGTTATCTGAGGTATAAAAGGCACTATGCACTTTGTATCAGGACAGGAAACAACCCTGTTGCACCTACAGATATCTGGAGTAGATGGATTTCAATAAAGAGCCTACAAACACAGCTGCTCTAATACAAACATGATTTAAACATCCTCCACTTCCTGGGTCTACCTGACAGAACTGGATGAATACTCTTATTGATGCCCTCAGAGGCATTTTTCTTTCACTAAACATACACGGGGTGAAAAGCTTAAAACACAGCAGGACTTCTGAGTCAGAGGAGAGGCTTCATCTCCCAGCCTCTACTGTTTCGCTAGTGCTTTTCAGCCTCTAGGAATTAACATTTCTAAGCAAACAGAATGACTCATAAATGGCTGAAGCAGAAAAACTGTACCTAGAAAATATGTTTGCATTCATATTTGATGGTAAATACATTCTTGAGTCCTTGAAGCAGACAAACGTTCTGCAATTTTAATCTAAGCTTAAAGAGACATACAAACTCAAACATCTTGAGCCTATATTCACAGTGACACGGTCTACTAAGTCTTCCTCCGGCCTCTCCCTCTGCCCTCAGCAGGTTCCAGCCTGGCTGCAGGGGCAGAAAGTGCATGAGTCTGTAAGTCCACTCTCTGCTGCAGGATCCCGGTGAGGATAAACTCAGCGGTGACGACGGGAAGAGATGCGGACATGGCGGGGACACACAGATGCAGGTCCTCTTCGCAGGAAATCACTACGGTCAGAGGCTGAGAGACAGAGAGGTGTGGCACAGTAAGAGAGAGAATAATGCTAGGAGACATCTATAGCTCTGAGCTCAGCTGTTACCTTGTGAGCTTTGGGCATCTTTGGTAGAAATGTGGCGCCGCTGCAGGTGATGATGTCTTTCATGTGAACTGGTTCAGGCTTTACTGACTTTGTGACGTGGATCTGATATCCCTAAAACAAGCAAAACAGAAGCAAAGTGATACATTACATATCCTTGTAAGCAAATACAGAAGAATTAGTCGATACTTATTTAGGTTCTGTAACCGAGAATAAGAAAATCGATACAAAAACATTTGGGTGAGGTGTACACCCTAATTTTAGCTAGGCATCAGCATAATGTGTTGTATCACCTTACAGCTGAGATGAAAGCCTAATGCCCCAGAAACAAAACCAGAACACAAACAATAGATGTTAAATTAACACCACAGGTTACCATGTGGGGGTAAATAATAGGTGCACTCCACCTGAAACACAACGGCTTACAAAAGTTTCCACATCGCTTGAAACTTTTCAAATTTTCTTACAAGACATGATCCAGTTTCTAAATGTACTGACTCATCCTCCTGAGTCAACACTTTGTAAGAACTGCGTTTTACTGCGTCATGTCTGAGAGATTTTGCAAAGTAACTAAACTCAGTCCGCCTTCATGCAGAAAATCTGTAACTATCCGTATACAATTCTTGAAAGAAATTCTTGATGGGATTTAGGTCTGGGCTTTGAATGGGTCGTTCTAACAAAACCATTTTGATCTCATCATTCCACTGCAGCTCTAGCTGCATTTTATTGTCCAACTAGATGGTGAACCTTGTTTACAGCTTCTAACACCATTTCCTGCCATTTAGCTCCATCCATCTTCCTAATAACTCTGAGCAGTTTCCTTGTCTCTGCTTCACCTTCAGAATGTATTCAGGGCAAGTGTGTTGCTTGTCGTCCTTACCACCTGGCATTTTACATTCAGACCAAATATTTAATCCTGGTCTTATCTAACCAGAGCATCATTTTCTTCAGGTTTGCTGTGTCTAAGACACTATTTGTGAAACTAGTCATGGCTTTCTTTGAAAAATGCCTTTTTTTCCAGTCACTATGATGAATATATCCTTTCAGAATTTTTCTTTTTTTTAACTTGTAGTTACTCTTGCAAATAATCAATAAAAAAGTCAATAAAGTTAGTTGGATGGATATGAAGTCTTTTCTAAGACTGCGAATGTATCATCATCTGATGAGGACTGGGCATGATTTTTCCACATAGCCACAATGACTCAGTCTTTCTCACCAGCTCTGCTGAGCTATCAGTTAAAGGAAACACCCTGCACCCTGACACTCCATCCACTACTCAGTCAGAGAATATTAATAATAAAGAGGAAAACAGACATATAGGAGGCCATCAAATACCTGCAGAAGAGGCTGGCCGCTGGCAACCCTCAGAGACTCCTGCAGGGAGAAGCTGAACTTCTTCTCTTGCTCCGGGTCCTTTACAACAAAAGCATTCGGAGAAAGGAAGCTCCCAGCCTTACCGCTCTGAAATGGACAGGGGAGACAGTTGAAGTGAGACAGAGCTTAACAGGGAGGACAGGTCTATATTGCTTATTCTAGCTGCTGCTAATAACCTTTTCCAGCCATTGTGTGGTGACGACTGGGACACCTTTAGCCACGGCGCACAGGAATTTCACCGTCCTTCGCACTTTATCCGTCACAAGGCAGTTCATGTCTGAGACGCCTTGGGCCATGGCGCCTCCTAAACGAGCCAGCACTCGCTCTCCAGATTCATCCACCACTCCAGTGAATAGGACCTGAGAGAATAACAGTACAGCTTTGCTTATCAGGGACTACAGACAGTTTTACTCATGATTACATCACTTAAATGGATTTCTGATGATCTTAAAAAAAAAAAAAAAAACATTGGCTGATGCGGCCAAAACAGTTGATATAGTTTTTTGCATAGAAGTAAATATTAAATGGAGTTCATCTAACCACCACAGTTGTATAAAGAAAGTAAGTAATTGATACATGCTCCAAATACTGCTGCAGGCAGCTTAGAAAGCAATCAGCAGGAACTGGGGAGGAAACCACACCAGTGAAAGCTCAGTGGGTAACGACTGTGGAAGTAATTCTTTCAGTAAAGTTTTATGCTCTTGGTCGAGTTGTTTTCTCAAGTTGTTGAAAAGCCTCAAATAAAGACTTTTTAAAAAACAAATTCTTTAGATTTGTTCTTGTCTCTAATTATCCACTAACACAAAGTTTTTTTTTAAGGAAACCAAACACTATTCTTCACATCGGGTTTTTATTTTTGTATTCCATTAATTGAACTCATCTTTTAAAAGGTGTTTTGTTGCTTGCCTGATAGATGCAGCTTAACATTAGATGGATTCTTGGATTACTTGGAGACCAATGTTCTAACAGGACTGAGCAAACTAAAACAGAGCAACCAATTATTTATTATTATTATTTTTAAAGAAAGTTTTTTACAATATAAAGTCCCAATAAAATATCCTCCTAGGATCTCATGGAACTGTTATATGATGATAGTTCCACCTTCCTCCACCACAAATTGATTTTAACTCGAGTCCCGTTTAGTTCTGTTAATCAACTGAAGCTTGACTTGTATGATTTGTGTTGATCGTTGCCGTAGCCGCCCCCATGTGACGTCATCTAATAATTTATTCAAAGTCTCTCAATTAGGCCTGGAACAGTTAATTAATCTGGATAAATTGATTGTTGAAATAACCATCAACTAATTTAGTAATCTGTTAATCATTAACCAGAGCATAGATACTCTAAATGCCTCTAGCTAACAGAGCAACCCAGTTAGAGTAGTAATGATGCCAACATTGAAAGCATTTAAGCATAAAGATAAAAATGCATTTAAGATAAAAATAATATGGCCCTCAAGTGGAAAGGTTTCAGTTTCACCAGGTTTAAAACTAAGTTAGAAGTTAAGAAGTTTAGTTTTACTAAACTTCTTTAAAGACTTTCTGATTATTAATTGATTAATGGAAAAAATAACCATCAATAATCGATTAGCCAAATAATCATTATATGCATCCTTACTCTCAAGTTAGGCAATAGAGATATTTATAGGAGCCCTAATATTTTGCATGTTATACCCGTTGAGCAAAAAAAGGACAAACACAGACCTTGTAGGCTGGGCTCCCGTGGCCCAGTCGGCTAATCGTAGCAGGAGACGCAGAGGAGGAACGAGGTGTCTTTGCCACGGGGGAGGAGTTTGAAGAAACTCGTCGCTTCCTGGAAGGAGTCGCGGCCGGGGTCTGAGGGTGCTGAGGAGGAGAGGAAGTAAGGGAGCAGGAGGAAAAACAAGACAGCAACTGAGTAAATAAATGAATAAATAGGATAAAGATAAAAAAGGAAACAATGTATCTCTTAATAAAGATTTGGATAAATGCTGGTGAAGATTCTTAGTCATCCAGGTCATAGTCATTCCAAACTAGTAAACAAAACAATCCACTGGAATTTGTTTCCAAGTTGGAAGACCTTTTGCTTCCCATCCAGGAAGCCTTTTCAATTCGAAATGTCAGAAATAGTGTTGAGTTCAAGGCTTTATAGTGTGGACCAAAACAAAGCCTTGTTTTGGCGAAGAAAACATGCAAATTGAACCGGAAAAACGGGTCCACCACCATTGCGGTTCATTGTTAGCCTGAAATACCCAATGCTGGTCTATGTATCTGAAAGAGGGGCCGTTAGGTTGGTCTCCTGTATGAGGGTGGGGGTTTTGAATTGAAACGTCTTCAAACTTCGATAAAAAAGTCCAGTGGATTGTTTTTCTTTATTTTTTTTTGGAATGATTTGCAGGAACGTTTCGGGTTATATCGCTATCATTTTAGATGTTTTTTTTGGGGGGGGTTCTAAAAGATTCCATTGGGAATAATCCTGGCATTGTTTTTTTGTTTTTTTTATTCCTGTGATCATAATTGACTTCAAGTTGTCAATTGCTAATCTTTTTCCCTGATGGGTTACACAACATTAATTCAATTCAGCTCGACAGCGAGGAAATTAAGAGGAAAGAGCGTGGGTGACCACTAACCCACTGAATCCATTAGATACATGGCAAAACTGAGAGAGGAAAGACATTTGCCAAGATACAGATGGAGGAGCATTACAATGTTTGTAAAGGCTTGTCTCACTGCACACAACTGAGCTTTGAGTAATGGTAAAAGCTTTCTGTATCCAATCTTCCATTTTAGACGGATTCCTAAACATGTTAATGTGGAAATTTTTATGATCGATGGAATAGGAATAATGATTTTACCTCTGCTACCTCCTCAGCTCCATCCTGTTCCATGGAAGAGTCGGATGCTTTAGTTTCCTGCAGCCCCTGCTTCTTATTTTTCTGGACCTCTGAGGATCCGGCCCTGGTTCTCTTCTCAACAGTGCTCACTGCTCCTTTCTTCCCATCTTCTACCTGGTTTTTTGGGAGGGATTTTTCACTTTTCTTCACCCGAGTGCTTAAAGCTCTGCTAGTTCTCCTTCCTGGGATGGCAAAAGGAATCTCTTTGTTTTGCTCCTCTTTTGGTTTCTGCTCTCCATCTGCTTCAGTGTTTGCTTTGCTCTCGTCTCTGGCCTCCTCCCCATAACTAACTGTAGGAGCTTCAGTTTCCTCCACAGGTTCAGCTTTTACTGCTTTTGGGCCTGTGCTCCTTGAATTCCTCTTAGGCAGAGAGATATTTAGATCTTCAGCTTTTTCCTGATTTTTTTTACGGCCTTTATTATTCAGAGCTAAATCTTCAGATCCTTTGGCACCGACCCGCTGCTGCCCCCTACTGGTAACAGTGAGCTGAGCGCTGGGTTGCCTTTTGTCTTGCTGCAGAATATCTGTGGAGGAGCTTTCTGACAATCTGCTCCTCTCTGTGGAATCTCTAATGTCAGGAGCAATAATGTTGGAGTGAGATGTTTTCCTTCCTCTTCCTCGAGGTCTTCCTCCTCTTCCTCTGTTCTGGGAGGTGGTGCTGGAGGCCTTAGAACTGGCTTTTGGACTAGCACTGAGCATCTGAGCTTCACCGTCCTGCTCTGCTGCTTCTGTGGCCGTCCTTCGTCTGCTGCTCCTCACAGCTGTTTTGGGGGTATCGCTGCTCCTCTTCGCTCCTCTCCCTCTTCCTTTGCTCTCCTGGGTTTTGTCGTTGATGCTGGAGACCGACCTCTCTGAGCTGACCGAGCTGGAGCGGGTTCTCCTCGCAGGGACGTCCTCGCTCACTGAGAAGGTCGAGCTTTGATGGGGCCCGGCTCCACCCCGGCCTCTTGATCTTCGGGTTCTTACAGAACCTCTGTGGTTCTCCTCTTCCTCATTATTATTTTGTAAATCTTGAAGTTGTTTTTCTTCAGATTTTGCCGTTTCCTCCAGTCTTGCTTCGGGTTCTTCCTGCTTCCTTGTCTCCAAACTCGCTTCCCTTTGATCTTCTATCTCATGTTGGGATTTCTTCTCCTCTCTCTTTCTTCTTTTTGTTTGCGTTTCATTTACCAGCTCATCCCTCTCCTTTTCTGTTGCCACATGTTCTTCTGCTATGTCTTCCCCTTGTTTCTTATCTCTTTGCTGTTTAATCTGGCTCTCATTTTCAGTGCTCTTGTTTTTGTCCTCTTCATCATCATCTTCTTCCTGTTTCCTTACATTTCTTCTCCCCCTTGTCTGTCGATTGGCTGCTTTCATCTCTTTCTGACAGCTGCCACTGTCAGACTTGTTTTGTTCCCTCGTTTCGTTCCTACTTGGTGAAACATTCGTCGCGTCAGCTTTTCTCTGAATTTTAGTCAGAGAGACTTCAGAAACAGTGATTGGCTGCATCTCCTCCTCTTCAAGATGCAGCTGCTTTTCTTTTCTTTTTCCTGCATAAGTTATGGATTCACCAACGTCACATTTTCCATCTCTTACTTCTGCCTGAGCTTCAACAGCAGAAACTCCAGCAGCTTCTGGAACCCTTTCAGACAGACCTTTATCTTCAAGTTCAGAGCTAATCAGAGGCTGAGTCTGCTCATCTTCAATGTTCAGCTGCTTTGCTTTCCGTTTTCGGGTTGTGATAAAGTCTTCGCTGCTTTGCTCTTCTTCACATGTTGCTGAAGGCTGAGGTTCAGGAGCAGAACTTTGAGAACCAACAAGTGACTGCGTCTCGTCTTCCAGCTGCAGGGGCTTTGCTTTCCTTTTCCGTAGGCACGGCATCGAGTCCAGATCGTCATCATCATCACTTGGACAGACAGGCTGGGTTTCAGCAGTCTCCTGCGACTCCTCTTCATCAATATGTAGCTGTTTTGCTTTTCTTTTTCGGGGAAGCAGCATCTCAGAGTCGTCAGCGTTACTTGCGTCACCTTCACCTAAATCTGTTGACTGAGCTTCCTCAGCATCAACATCCACAGGCTGAGTTTCCGCCAGAGTCAGGGCTGAATGGGTGACTGGCTGTGTCTCCACTTTTAGAGGCTGTAGGGACTCTGCAGACAACCCATCATCATCGCTCGCCTCGTCGTCACTCGTACACATGGGCTGGGTTTCAGCGAGGGATAAGGCCGAGGAGGTTGTGTGATGTTTCTGCTCCTCTGCAGGTTTCAGGAACGGTGATGACAACCCCTCAGCATCCCTCTCCTCTTCATCACTTTGACACATGGGTTGTGTTTCAGCAACTGATTGAGATTCTTGAAGCTCCTCTGTTTCGTTTCGCACTCCGGTTTGAGCAGGTTCTAAGGAACCAACTGGATTATTAGGCTCAGAAGAAGAGGAAGAAACTGTCTGAGTTTCAGCCAAAGGAAGTGTTGACGAGCATGTGGAAACCACGCTTTCAGTCTTGGCAGAGTTTTGTTTTGCATCTTCATTTGAACCTTCGTCATAAGGCTCTGGGATATAAGCTTGAGTTGCTTCCATAGCCAAAGAACCACAGCCTTCTTTCCTGGACATTTCTAAACATCTAGAAGGCCCCATGTCATCGCTGTAGGGCTGAGTGGCCTCCAGGGTAGGAGAATTTCCTTCCACATACTCCAGAGTGTCCTCCAGGTTAACTCCATCTTCTGAGATGTAAGCCTGGGTGTTTTCCATGGCCACAGCTTTAAACTCACCCTGTAAGTGGCTGCTATCAGACAGACCCAGCTGGAAGGAATCTCCTCTGGTGGAAGTCTCCTCAGGTTGGACAGCAGAGGACTCGATTTCAGAGGCTAGCTCTGGGTTTAAACCTTTGTAGCTATCTCTATCCTGAAGAATGAAGGACTGAGTCTCAGCCACGTCATAGTCTCCATCCTCCTGGCTGTCTGAGCAGGAGGAAAATACCACTGCTCCTAAAGAAGAAGCCCCAGCATCTGCAGGAGCAAGACATAAAACAAACACATCTATTTAATTACTAAACTGAACAAATTTTTTTGTTGTTTTTTTTTTAAAGGGAGAGAAAAAATGTAATATTCATCACTGATTACATCAAATCAGAGGTGTCAAGTAATAAGATACAAATACTTCGTTATCTTACCTAAGTAGATATTTTGGCTATCTATACTTTACTGGAGTGATTAATTTTTTAGACACGTTTTTACTTCTACTACTTACATTTTTTTTGCAATTATCTCTACTTTCTACTCCTTACATTAAAAATAATTGTTAGTTTTGTTTCGTTTAAGCTTATTTTTGTTTTAACCTGTTGGTATTTAAAATAATATATATATATACACCGGTATGTATTAAAATAATTTGTTTTATCCACACAATTAATTCCATTTGGGTTGGACTCGGCGCTGCACCAACTTGTTGTTCGCCACAAACCAAAATAAATAGTTTTTCAAGATGATGCAAAGTTAAATTTGACACTGTTGCCATTAGTTATAAAACTGATTAAATGAAGTATAAGGAAGTTGCTAGTGTCATTGTTATGTGTGCAAAGCATAGCCAAGTAAGGAATTTACTTAATTTTAATTTTATAATTTTATAAGTTTTTTATCAAGCTTGCTTAATATTGTGCACAGCATACAACCTTTATTGTATTTATTTATTGTATTTTATTTATTAATGAAAATATTTCTGTAGAATTTTGGAGTCTTTGTTTTTATCCTTGTGGTACCGAAAATGGTATCGAATATTTTCCTTAGTATCGGTATCGAGTTGAAAAGTTTAGTATCGTGACAACCCTAGTCTCCTCTGTTTCAGAAATTAACTATAAATTAATTTATCAAGATTTTATGTGAAAGAGCAACACTAAGTGAGAAGAAAGCAAAATATGAAAGGTGTGGTCAGCACTTGTACTCTGGCACCTTTTACTCCGATACCTGTGAATAAAACCCAGTTAAACAAATTCCCTTTGGTTTTATTTATGTTTTGCCCAACGCTGGACAGATTGAAGTTGTAGGTGCTCTAGTCAGATGAGAGCAAAAGTTAACTTTCAAACTAACAAATAATGGGTGTGACTAAAAAATAAAAACTCCATCCCCACAGTGGAACAAGATGGCAGCAGATGCATGAAGCAGGTTGGATACTTTTCCTTAGCACAGAGAGGAAACTTGGTCAGGGTTTTAGGAAAGATGGGGGGAGCTAGATGCAGGACAATCAATGATGCTGCAAAACATTTGAGACCATGGAGGGTCTGGAAGGTTCTCTCTCCAGTCAGCTGACTTCTAACATGTAGCCAGAGCTGCAATAGGCTGGTTTCATTCAAGCATATTCATGTCCAGCTCTTTATTCCACTTAAACGAGTAGCTCTGGTAAAAGTTGTAAACTAATATTAACGCTTTATATCAAATTTTTATATTGAATTTGTGCCAAACTTCAACTATTTTATAAAGGCAGCAGAAGAACACACAAAAAAAACTGAAAACAGTACAAAGCAACATGAATTAGAAATAGATGTGTTAAACCTACATCGATGTGCGCCTGACGTTGGGCTTGTGAAGGCTTGAGTTTCCATCTGCTCAACCTCTCCTTCTGCAAAACAATAAATAAATACATAAAAAGAAGAACAGTTAAAGCTTATTTCCATTCAAAAAAATCCAAGAATCTTTGTAAATGTGGATCATGAGCCTTGGTAAACATTGTCTTACAAGTAATCGGAAATCGGTTTTTAATATGCAACAAAAACTTTTCTTCTTGTACACCTGGTTGCAACTTTAGTCTATAATGATTTATTACTTCTTTTAATGTACTTCTCTAATTTTATTTCTATTGTTTTGGATTTTTTTTAATCCTGTGATCTTTCTATACATCAAATTAAGACCAAGTACCTGAAAGCTGAACAGGAGTAGAACAGTTCTGCAGCAGAGGAACCAGAGACCCAGGAGTATTTTCTCTGAGCAGGTTTGGGATCTGGCGCTCCACTGCCTTCTCATCCTCCACATCAGTGTCACTTTCCACCTGAAGGTCAGCTTGACTGCCCTTGGCTTCAGCTTGGGGAAGGATAGGTTCCTTAACATCTCTGTCTTTACTGGAATCCGGCTCCAGAGCTCCTGATGCAGGAGCAGCAGATATAGCAGGGGGGCGGTCTTCCTCTACGTCTGTGTCACTATCAGACAAAATATCCAGACCGGCTCTCCCTTCCGAAGATGCGCCAGAAGCAGCCATGGAGGGGTCATCCACCGCTTCATTACAGCCGTCGTCGCTTGGATGCAGATCATGAGGTACAGTAGGTGTGGGTTTATCAGATGGATCATTGAGAGCTTTGTCTGTTTTAGGATCTTCCTGTTTCACTCCTTCTCCTCCGTCTTCTTGCTCATCCACATCTGTGTCGCTGTCCAAGTGGAAATCTCCAGGCTGCAATGAGGGGGCTGAGTTAGTAGTGTGCTGACCCTGAAATAATGTGGCTTTGGATGAAACGTTGGCATCATCATCCACATCAGTGTCACTGTCCATTGCGATGCCTTCAAGCTGAATAGCAGAAGGTTTTGATTTTTCTTCAGCAGCAGGAGAAGTTTTTGGAACTTTATCCGATGTATCGTCGTCCACATCAGTGTCACTGTCCATGTGTGAAAGGACTGGGTTTGGGGGTTGATCGTTTTGCCCCGCAGGCGACACCTCTTCCTCTCCTTCCTCCACATCAGTGTCACTGTCCAGGTTAAATTCAGGGATGGCGTCTCGGGACACTGACGTTGACCCAGGCGACTCGCCATCTTCATTAAGGGGCTGATGGATTTTCAAATCATTTCCATTTTCTTCTGCTGCTCCTTCGACTTTCTCATCATGGTTTTCCACAAATGCAGCTGTCGTGTCTTTCTCTGGACGCTGTCGGCCCACGTCGCCATCCGTCTCCTCCAGGCTGAAACTTACATGTCTGTTTGACAAATTCTTGATGGAGGAGGACGGCGTTACGGGGCTTTCATCTTCACTGTAAAACGGAAAAACAAGACTTAGGATCTGAAAGATAGCAGTTACTGATAAATACGTTTTCTGTTGTTAATAAAAAGCCTTTCAAAAATAATTCATTTGCCATAAAATTTGATGTGTTTTATTAGAATGTCGTGGCAGTGAGATGCTGTTGGGATGTTTTTTTTATCTTAACTTTAGCACAAAAGAAGGGCTGACCAGAGTTGTTGGGAAAGTATGGAGCTATGAAAGTCCTAGAAAACGTGTTAAAAAATCAAACAGGATCACATTTCAGCATGAAAACAACAAGCTGCCACGACAGCCTGTTAATGCATTTAAAGACTTCTTTTTTACTAATGCTTATTTCTAACTGACTAAAATTTTCCGAAAATGAAAAAGGTTGAGAGTTTTTCAATAACATCCAGCGACTTCTACATATCAAAAGCCCTTTGTGCATCAAATCTGCATTGAGTTTCTTCATTCAACATGGCTAAATATAGTAGGTTTGCAAAACAATTATGTTTTAATGAGAAAACCTGCAAAAAACTTTACATGTTTTGGATCTGAAATGATTTACACATCTATTTCCAAAGAAATAATACTTCTTTATTTGTTTCACTGAAATGATACATGGGAATGCATGGTAAAGTTCCAAAATTTGAAGAAAAAAAATTAAGTGAATATAAAAAAGGGAACACACTGTTGTGGCCTGTCAAAACTTTGACTTAAGAAGATAGGACCATGTTTACCTAAACCAGTTTGGAAACCACTGGTTTAAGTAAAAGCATACTTGCGTTTTAAAGTCGCCAATCCAATTACAAATCTCCATTTGAACATTTGTCAAAAATGTAATTTTCTCAAAGTGTAAAGCTGATTGAAACACTTCAAAAAAGAACTAAAGCATTAACTTTATCAAAAGGTTGCTCTAAAATCTATTGACTTCCCTTTTTTGTATTTACTAAAAACTTTTGAAAAACATATAGCCCAGCATACACTGCATGTCTATTAACAAAATTAAAATTCAAGATAAAATACACAAATGCTTAATGTTCAGATATACATAATAAAATGCAAAAAGACCTTCTAAGCAAATAAAATGCATTTGTTTTTTGTTTTTGTTTTTTTGTACAATCCATTAAAATAGTTAAAATCTTCATAGTTAAAATGAGGAGCATACCTTTCAGGTACAACTTTATTTGGGGGACTTAAGAATGCAGAAGAGCTGGGACTGGACTTGTGGGAGTCTGAATCAGACACTGAAATCGAAGCCAACATGTTAATAAAAACTTAAAACAGTGGTGTTTTTAAATTATCATCTATTAAACTTACCAATGGTCTTCTGTTTTCTATCCCGTCTCGCTCCTCTTTCACTCTCCGAGTCTGAATCAGATTCCGGTACCAAAGTCCCGTGGGGTTGAACTGGAGTTTGCTCAATAGAGAGGCACCCACCTATAATAGGCATTCTCTTTTCCTCCGACCTGGAGCTTACATAATGACATGGGATGTTCCCAAAAACCAAGGTGTCGCCCTCACTGAGGGCATAGCGCACATGAGGGGTCAGCTTTAGGTGTCCTTTACGGGTCCCATTCATGCTCCCTAGGTCCCAAACCAGGGCCTCCATGCCCTCTTTACTATCACGGCCTCTTCTGCGGTACACAGAGATGCTGACCGTAGCATGCTGCTTGGACACAGAGGGTGCGAGCAACTGTAATGTGCAGATGTTGGGGTCACGGCCCAGAATATTATCTCCCAGGAAGAGAGGAAACTCTAAATGACAGAGACAAAATATATTTAGGGAAAGATTTCTTTACATTTAATGGACTTAAAAGAAGGTATATGTAAAGTCTCTCCCAGTTTTGTTTGTAATAAAGATTTTGTTCTTGTTCTCACTTTAAATATGGCAAGTACAGAAAAGTTGATATTTTCTTACAACTTTATCCTAACATCTAAAGGTCAACACTTCTGAGTTGAATCACTCATTTCTCATTTTAAATAGCGACCAGGATAAATGACTCCCTGCACCATGTCATGTTTGTTCTTTAAGAAAATGGAAAAATCTGGATTTTTATACAGAAGTTCTGCAAAACATATATCTACTTTAAAAGAGAAGCATAAAATGTAAAAAAAAACAAAAACAAAGATGCTGCTTGGATTATTACAAAATGACATCCCGGAGGAGGGAAAAAAATACCTTCTACAAATTATTAATCAATTAATTACTGATTGTGGCTCTTAAATGTATCATAGTTGTAAATGGTTGAAGTCTGACCCACCAACGTACAAAATGTGGAATGAAAAGGTCTGGGAAATCTATCATATGGAACAAATAACTTATTGCCTTAGGCTTCAAGAAGACATATTTGTTAATAGATGGAAACTGGCCATGACTAAAATAATGCAATAATTTTTTGAAATATATTTTATACTTCTCCCTTATCTTTATTTATATATTTTTATCAGTTATTATTTATTAAATTTTTATTTCACTCATTTATCTCCATCTGTGCTGCTTATCAACTTACCAACTATATCTATGTTTGTATGTTACTCATTTTTAATCATGTAACCTGCTTTACTTACAAATTTAACCTGATGCTTATACTTTCAAAGTTGTTTTAAGTATATAGTGAGTGAAAAAAAGCAAATTAAATGTGGGCTTGTATGTATATATCTATGCAAGTTTGCAAAAAATTTAAATAAAAATTAAGTTTAAAAAATAAATAAAGAAAGAAATGGGCTTTTAGGGGAGACTGACATGTTTTACCTGTGGTTTTCTCAAAAATTTACAAACATGGAAAATGTGTTTCCATGTATTCAGAATATTATGCTGCTGCATAGAAATAATAATACTTTTCTAAGGTTTGTTATGCATGTTTCACAGGTGATGGAGCTGAACATGTTAGGATATTTACCTTTCTCAGGGATGTGAGGGTTTGTTAGGACGCACAGTTTGGCCAATGGCTTCCTTGTTTCATTCTTGCTTTCCTCTTCACTTTCCTCCTCCTCAGATTCTAGGATCGAGTCACTGATCGCCTGCGTGGCATCCATTCCTACTGAAAAGCAAAAAAGGCTGACAACAAAACTAAAAAATACAGCCCCATCGAAACTAAAGTTAGCTTCACAACAAGCTACAGGCAACTGCACGCAGCTAACATTAGCATTCGTGGCTAACCAATAATCTGCTGCTAACAGTTAACAAATGCATTATGCTGAGCATTTAGCGAGTTTGTATTTCACTTTTATTACACATTCTTTATATGAGACCAGTCTTGAAAGGTTTAAACAACATAAACAACTTTTATTAAAGGTGTATAATCGTTTTCAGTGTCAAAATCACAGCAATTACACTTCCGGTCAACGACAAAACGGTTGGTTGCAAATGACGACACTACAGTTAGCATCGTGATTATTATGGTAGCTATATTTATCTTTCCCTAACATCATTCACTATTTTTGAATTAAAAAGTGTGTAGCTTTGGAACCGCATGGTTGTTACCTTGAAATCAAAAAGGAAGCATTAACCAGTGTAGAGTAGTTTTCTAGCCCACACTGGCTCATCAGCTGATGATGATGCGTTGCGTTTTCATAAATCCAATAAACGTCTGAGTTTCCACAAACAGGATCATGCTCCAACACAAACTTCAAGTTACCTGGCTTCGATCAGTGCACATAAACTTCATGTAAATGATAACACAACCACGCCCATAGAGGGCCACTGACCACTCAGCTATTGGCCAATAGAAGTGTCTTTCATGACGTACTCGCTTTTGATTGGATATTTTTTCCAGATGATTTTTGATTGGATCAAATCTATCTATCGGTGTTTTTGTTTTCGCGCCAGACACAGAAACTGGAAGAGTGCTCTGACCAATACACAGATAGAAGTTTAACACGCAGTTATTTATTCTAGCTGTATATTTCTGCTTTTAATTATGGTGGTTTATTGACCATAAAAAATAACCAAATAGCAATTTACAAAGTTAAAATATTTAAGAATAAATGATTTACAGAAGTACATATTGAGGATAAACTAACATTACAGATTAATTGTTTTACATATGCATTTCACAAACTGTCTGACTGCAAAATTGTCAGCTAATGATCTACACGCTCTAAAGTCCTGTGTCTGTAAAAGTAGCAATTCACATTCAGTTCAGATGGTTTTAGATGGTAAAAAGGTCATATTATTGTCAAGAAGCTAGACTAAGTTTGTTCATTATAAGACAACAGCCACTGGCCAGAACTTTTATGGGTAAGAATCCTTTCACTTGTGCACAAAACATCTATTTTGACCAATTTGATCCAAATAGGTGCACCATACATGCGGGTGAGGGCACCGAATGTTTTACATTTGATTCAAAGATGGTTTGAATTAGACAAACTGCATTTTTACATAACAAAAGAGCATCAAAACAATTTAAAGCTGAAATTTTGGGAGTGGCGGCCTTGTGGTTTGGGCATATGGCTTGAAATCCTGAGGTTGTGAGTTTGAAACCCACGCACACAGACTGCCAATCTGGCTCTCTGAGCAAGACCCTTAAACCCACACTGCTCCCCGGGCACCGCAAATGGCAGCCAACTGCTACCCAAGGGGATGGGTTAAATGTAGAGAGTGAATTTCGTTGCTCTGTACTTGTGACAGTGTAATGACAATAAAACAATGGAGAAAGCATGCTTTTCACTATTTTTGCATCTAAACGCAAATAGTAAAATGATGCAACTGCCCCTAGGCCGATTGTTACCCATTTTACGAATACAATATAGAACTGTTATTAATTAAAGAATTGTTTTTGTAATTTTCAAACAGTGGCACTATGACTTTTTTTAATAAATATCTTAAAATAACATTGCAGTGTTATTTATCGGATTTGATCGGATGAAAGTTTCAAATTTGTAGTTGCCTTATGTGCAGATGTCAAAGATTCTCACTGATCTAAAACACTGTAGGTTTTTAGTGGTATAGGGAACAGTCTGTGAAAGAATTCACTTTTATTTTGTCAACTGTTACTACATGCTTTCAATATGCAAAATTTACCTTTGAGAAAACTAGGTTTCTAAAACCACAACTGTAGAAAATGCAACTATACTATATATTTTTTATAAAATGCCATTAAAACCCAATTATCTACTTAGGTATATAAGAACTAAATAATCGGGGGGAGTGGCAGCCTAGTGGTTAGGGCATAGATCTTGGAGTCATGAGGTTATGAGTTTGAGTCCCACTCCCACAGACTGCCACTCTAACTCGTTGAGCAAGACCCTTGACCCCACACTGCTCCTCGGGCGCCACAAAATGACAGAACATTCCTCTCCAAGGGGATGGGTTAAATGCAGAGTTCATTTTGTTGCTCTGTACTTGTGACAGTGTAATGACAATAACAAAAAAAAAGTTGGAGAAAAAGCTGGAAAAAATAATCTAATCTAACAATATAATTGTGTTGTAAATGTCATTATTAGAAATTTATATTCTTTATGTTGAATAAAACTAACAAAAATGTACTTAAAAAGCAACAACAAATATATATATACGGTATATATACTATATCAACAAAAACATTTAGAATCCTGATATTAACCCGTATGTGTAAAAATGGAAAAATGTCAACAAAAATAAATCATTAGATCATTTTGTTCATAATCTTTGAAAAGGAGTTAGAACAAGTATATACGGTAATATTTTTATACACCCACTTTTTTATACTTTTAGTCTAGATATTTTAACATAAGGTTGGATTTTATGCCTTCCAAAAAGTATGATCCTTGTTTTACTGAGGTTTAGTGATCATTTATTTCACTGAAACCATAGACTTATTTTACATACATTACATTATATCATCTGGAAAATCTGCTGGAAAAATTTTTCTTGGACAAAAATCTTATTAGGGTAATCTGTACAAATTTCTTGAATTTCAATATGTATATTTTACAGCCATCACTGATAGACTTTATAAATAACTGCAGCACTAGTATTGTCCCTTGTGATGCTCCATGTATTATTCGTTTGAAATAGGATTTTTAGCCATTTATTTGCACAAACTGTTTTCTTGGCACATTAACTCACAGCTGTAAAGGCATGGAAAGAGACACATTTATGCACACACACACAAACTCCCTTCTCCTGGTCTAACCTGGTGAAATGCATTATATTAAATGAAAAAAAACGATGAAAAAATGTTTAAAATACTTTAATATATTTTATGATTGGGGGCAGTGGCAGCAGCTGTTGCCACAGCCCCCATTATCAGCCTTGATAAAACCTCATGTGCTAGCTAAACTAGACATTGATCTTGATACATGCTATTAACTAAAAGTAAATATATGACACCTTTAAACCATATAGGTTTTGCGGTACCGCAAAACTAAAGCTGCTTTAGGATCTTCTGCTTTATTTTTTAATAAATACGACATTGCAAGGTTGTATATATATATATATATATATATATATATATATATATATGCATCAGTAAATACTATTGCATAAACCATGTGTGATTATTGTGCTGCCCTACTCCATTATGCATTAATTATTAGCTTGTGGCACTATAAAGGTGATGCTCCAGTTCTTTATAAGAAGACCAGTTTTTCTGCATATACAGCTTACCCTTTGAAAAAATATATGTTCTAGTTGGAGCTGGACTAGAAGGTCCAAGGTGACCCCTTGAGCCCTGCCACTGCCCCCCCCCCTTCCAAAAAATATGCAATTTTCAAATGATCTGTAGTCTCCATTTGATTTTTTTTTTATTTTTTGTTAATGTATTATTGTGTTTCACATTCAACATTGTTTCAAATTCCCCCCGTTTACACATACCCGTAGCTGATTCTGATTTAATTTTGCTTATATTTTGGCTTTACATGTATAAAAAAATCTGGTTCTGCAGACTTTTGTCTGTCTTTATTTCTAACTTTATATTTGAAATAAAGACTCAAAACTTATTACAAATTTATGATACCTTTATAAACCTGAATTCCCCTCAGCACATCCTGCTGCAAGATCATCCCTCCACAATGGTGGCATGTCCCAAAGAACAGCATTTACTTACTTGCTTAATTTCTGTGTATAGTAGCTTTGATTATTTATACTGTAAACTCATTTAATAATAAACTCCTGTAGATATGAAAACACCAACACAAGAATCAGACAGGGACCAGATAGTTTAGTATGATGACTTTATTGGTACTGAACAACAGGGGATTTCTACTGCAACCTAATGCTTGAACACAGTTAAGTTATCCTAGTAATGATCTTGACTCTAAGTGGGGGTGATGATTACTTGTGGTTTGCTCCTTTCATAGTTTCAGTTTGGCAATGACTTCTCGACTTCCCTTCTTTAAGCATCCTCTTCAGCCTCCTCCTCAAACTCACCTTCCTCCTCAGCAGTAGCATCCTGGTACTGCTGGTATTCGGACACCAGGTCGTTCATGTTGCTCTCTGCCTCTGTGAACTCCATCTCATCCATACCTTCGCCCGTGTACCAGTGCAAGAAGGCCTTGCGCCGGAACATAGCTGTAAACTGCTCAGAGATGCGCTTGAATAGCTCCTGAATGGCCGTGCTGTTACCGATGAAGGTGACGGCCATCTTCAGGCCACGGGGCGGAATGTCGCAGACGGCGGTCTTCACATTGTTGGGGATCCACTCTACAAAGTAGCTGCTGTTCTTGTTCTGCACGTTGAGCATCTGCTCATCCACCTCCTTCATGGACATGCGGCCGCGGAACACAGCGGCCACTGTCAGGTAACGGCCATGGCGCGGGTCACACGCGGCCATCATGTTCTTGGCATCAAACACTTGCTGGGTGAGCTCCGGAACAGTCAGGGCACGATACTGCTGACTGCCCCGGCTAGTGAGAGGGGCAAAACCGGGCATGAAGAAGTGGAGACGAGGGAAAGGCACCATGTTAACGGCCAGTTTGCGGAGATCGGCGTTGAGCTGGCCAGGGAATCGGAGGCAGGTGGTGACACCGCTCATGGTGGCAGACACCAGGTGGTTAAGGTCACCATAGGTGGGTGTGGTCAGTTTCAGTGTGCGGAAGCAGATGTCATACAGAGCCTCATTGTCAATGCAGTAAGTCTCGTCTGTGTTCTCTACCAGCTGGTGGACTGAGAGAGTAGCATTGTAGGGCTCAACCACTGTATCCGACACCTGCAGGTACAGAACTTTTATTTAGTCTCATGATCTCAGAGGACCTAAGGCTAAACAAGCTAATTTTAAATACTCAACAGATCACATGCCATCACAAGGATCAGTTACCTTTGGGGAAGGCACCACGCTAAAGGTGTTCATGATCCGGTCAGGGTACTCCTCACGGATCTTGCTGATGAGGAGGGTTCCCATACCGGACCCAGTTCCTCCACCAAGAGAGTGGGTGAGCTGGAAGCCCTGCAGGCAGTCGCAGCTCTCTGACTCCTTGCGGACCACATCCAGGACAGAGTCCACCAACTCGGCTCCTTCTGTGTAGTGACCTTTGGCCCAGTTATTTCCTGCACCGCTTTGACCTATGATAAAATTAAAAGGTATTGGTGTGTTCTTTTATTTCTTTTCTTAATGCTTAAGAAGTTATTCATAAACAATTTTGATCCATTGCTATTTAACTCACCGAACACAAAATTGTCAGGTCTGAAGATCTGTCCAAAGGGTCCAGACCTCACAGAGTCCATAGTTCCAGGCTCCAGATCCACAAGAATTGCTCTTGGTACATATTT